CAAACTAAAAAGCTTTCCTTTGTACGTCAGAGGAAACTATCAACAAACCCAAAAGGCAGCCTGCTTAATGGTGAGAAGATATTTGCAAATGATGTAACTGATGATGGGTTAATATCCAAAAATATACAAAGAACTCATACACTCAATATAAAAACAAACAAACAAACTTATTAAAAAATAGGCAGAGAACCTGAATAAACAGTTTTCAAAAGAAGTACAGGGGCTTCCCCGGTGGCGCAGTGGTTGAGAGTCCGCCTGCCGATGCAGGGGACGCGGGTTCGTGCCCCGGTCCGGGAAGATCCCACATGCCGCAGAGCGGCTGGGCCCGTGAGCCATGGCCGCTGAGCCTGCGAGTCCGGAGCCTGTGCTCCGCAACAGGAGAGGCCACAACAATGAGAGGCCCACGTACTGCAAAAAAAAAAAAGAAATACAGATGGTCAACAGACACATGAAAAGATGCTCAACATCACTAATAATCAGGGAAAAGCAAATCAAAACCACAAAGAGCCACCAATTAACACCAGTCAGAATGGCTATCAACAAAAGCAACAAATAACAACAGTTGACAAAGATGTGTAGAAAAGGGAACCCTCTTGCACTGTTTGTGGGAATGTAAATTGGTGCAGCCAGTATGGGAGTTACTCAAAAAATTAAAATTACCAAATGGTCCAGCAATTCCACTTCTGTGTTTTTATTCTGAAGAAAACAAAAACACTAATTTGAAAAGATGTATGCATCCCTATGTTCATTGTTGCATTATTTACAATAACCAAGACATGGAAGCAGCCTAAGTGTCCACTGATAAATGAATGGATAAAGAAGATGTGGTATATATATATACAATGGAATATTACTCAGCCATAAAAAAAAAACGAAGTCTTGCCATTTGCAATAAAATGGATGGACCTGGAGGATATCATGCTAAGTGAAATAGTCATACAGAAAAAGACAAAAATTATATAACTTCACTTATATGTGAAATCTAAAAAACAAAACAAACAAGCAGAAACAGAGTCATATATACAGAGAACAAACTGGTGCTTGCCAGAGTGGAGAGGTGTGGAGGGATGAGTGAAATAAGTAAGAGAGATTAAGAGGTATAAACTTCTAGTTATAAAATAAGTAAGCCGGGCTTCCCTGGTGGCGCAGTGGTTGAGAGTCCGCCTGCTGATGCAGTGGACACGGGTTCGTGCCCCAGTCCAGGAAAATCCCACATTCCGTGGAGCGGCTGGGCCCGTGAGCCATGACCGCTGAGCCTGCGAGTCCAGAGCCTGTGTTCCGTAACGGGAGAGGCCACAACAGTGAGAGGCCCCTGTACCGCAAAAATAAATAAATAAATAAGCCATGAGGATGTCATGTACAGCATAGGGAATATAGTCAGTAATACTGCAATAACGTTGTATGGTGACAGATGGTAACTAGGTTTATCATGGTGATCATTTTGTAATGTATAAAAATATTGAATCACTATGTCAGACATCTGAAACTAATACAATATTGTAAATCAATTATGCTTCAATTTAAAAAAGGCACGAACTATTAATACATGGAATAAGCTGGATAAATCTCCGGATAATTATGCTGAGTGAGAAAAAATCCCAAAAGATTATATACTGTATCACTTCATTTATATAACAGTCTTGCATTGACAAAATTATAGAGATAAAGAACACACTAGTGATTGCTAGGGATTAAAAAGGGGATGGGGAAGGAGAGAAGTGGGAGCGGCCATAAAAGAAAAAAATGAGGGAGCCTTGTGATGATGGAAATTTTAAGTATCATGACTGTAGCAATGTCGATATCCTTATTTTGATATTGTACTATTGTTTTGCAAGATATCAATTTTGGGGGAATTGAGTGAAGGATACATGGAATCTCTGTATTAAGTCTTACAACTTCTTATGAATCTACAACTGCTGAAAAAGATTTTTTTAAAAATCTTGAAGTGTCTCAGGTTCTGCTATGGCATTCAGAATTTTTTGCTGTAAGTGACGGGCAGCCAACAAAGAAGTGGTTAAAAGGATGGAGATGGGGTTGACATGAAACACACATGCTTTAGAATGGTCTCTCTGGCAGGGTGTGGCTGTAGGAGTGGAAGCAGGTAAGAGAGCAGATGGGCTGGGCAAGACTCTTAGAGATGGCCTTTGTTTCTCACTGTGAAGTTAGGAACAGTAACAAATTAGCTATGGAGAATAAGATGGCAGGTTGGATAAATAGCTTGAGAAGAATGGTGACAATTTAAAAACTGAAAGGAAAATTATGGAGTACTGCTAAAGTCTCAGCTCAGGTTAATGACCATGACTTTGTTTGGATGTAAGATTTCAAAGTTAAGTAATTTTTCCTAAGTTTACTGATCAGCTCTGGAGGAGAAAGGGAGACAGACGGGGCCCAGTTCAGATGGGAGAGTGCAGCCAAAATCAAAGAGGAGGAAAGTCAGATGTTTTCATAGAAAGCAGCTCCAGGTGGATGAGTGTAGTCCAAATTGATATAGGAAAAAGCTGAGGTCAGAGCTATTTTGGAGTAGAGCTCTCAAGAAAGTGAGAAAGAAGGGACATAGAACTTGTATGTGGTGAGAAACTGAGCAAGAAACAGAGAAGAAATTGAACCAGTTCTTTCTTTCTTTCTGGCTGCGTTGGGTCTTCGTTGCTGTGTGCAGGCTTCTCATTGCGGTGGCTTCTCTTGTTGCAGAGCATGGGCTCTAGGCACACGGGCTCAGTAGTTGTGGCTCGCGGGCTCTCGAGCGCAGGCTCAGTAGTTGTGGCGCACGGGCTTAGTTGCTCCGTGGCATGTGGGATCTTCCCGGACCAGGGCTCGAACCTGTGTCTCCTGCATTGGCAGGGGGATTCTTAACCACTGCGCCACCAGGGAAGCACTGAACCAGTTCTTAATGGCTCCGCAGTTCATATACTTTCCACTAAGTTCCCTCCTTTTTGAACCTGTTGGATTCAGCAGGTCAGCCCCAGGATAAGAGTGTGAGCAGAGTCTGTGCTAGCTCCAGCCTGGAGCTACAAGCCTAGAGTCTTGGAGTCTGTCCCAGAATGAGACCTGACAGTTTAGAACAGGGTCTGTGGGTCTTTCAGAAGTCTGCCCTCTCCCCACTTGCTCTAGGAAGGCTTCCCTGATTCCCTCTGCCTGGGTTAGGCCAACACTACTAGGCTCCCAACACACCACTCCATAGCCCCCACCCTCTACAAAAACTGGCTGCTCCTGCCAGATTCGTCCTGGGGTCTGGCTAAGAGGAAGCTGTCTTCAGGAATATTGTCTTGGAAGGATTTCAAATGCAAATGGGCTGTTGAAGCAGATAGTCTTTGAAGATCATTCAAACTTGGTGGGGTATTGTAGAATCTATGAGTCTGTCTCACTTTCCCCCTTATTGTTTGGTTCCTCCAACCACTTCCTGGTTCCAAAAGCTAGCCTGAACTTGTTCACTCCTCAGGGACCTGAGTGGAGTGACTCCTCTGTGGCTCAAGCCTGGTCTTCCCTGGAGATAGGCACTACAGCTAAACATCTCAAAGACATCCTGGGCTCTTGCAGGATGTGGAGTGGCAGAACAGCTGGGGACAACAGCCAGGTTGAGTAACCTGGACCCTCAACACACCCTCTTCTCCACTTCCAGGATGGGTGGCCACCAGCACCTCATCCTCGACCATCCAGGTGGAGGTAACAGTGGGAAAGGTCTGGAAGTCAGGCAGAAGAAAGAGACATAACCAGTCTTGAACAATAGGAGACAGTAGTGCCATCTTGAAAAGAGGAGCTGAAGGAGGCTACCTTCCTGAGGGTCAGGAAGCTTACAACTCAGAGAAGAAGTGGAATCCCAGTCCACATTTCCAGGGAGAGCTGTCCCTTGTAGTCTCTGCAAAGAGAGAGTAGATGAGGGGAAGTGTCAAGTTCTCTCGGCATCTGGTATTCATTTTCCTTATTTATTATCAACCCATTTTATACTCTAATATCAAAAAAATTAATTTGGTTCATGATTTCTTTATTTCAAAAAATTTTATAAAGAATTTTCCTCTCTCTTGAATAATTCCTTATCTCAAAGAGTATTTTTACATATCTTTAACTTGTTTTATCCCTTAAAATTGTTTACAAAATATGTCTGTACAAGTTCTGTGTTGGAACTTCTCTGTTTATTTGTTTTTGAATGGAATGAGTTCCACCAGGTTTTGATGTGCTTAGAAATCGTGTCTGAGAGAGAAGGGTTGGAGGACTCCAGAACTACACTGTCAGCAACTTTACTTCACTGCATTTTCTTTAAAAGGCTTCTACCAGAATATGCACAATCCTCTGCTCCAGAGGGACAATGCTTGTCACCCTCCTAAAATAAAGAAAAAAAGAGAGGTCAGTCCTACTTTCAGAGTGAGTTGATTATGTTGGCTAGATATGACATAACTGTAGACCGCAGGATTCAGACTAAAGCCCCTTGTAGTTCTCTGACCTATTTTTGGTGGATTTTTCATCTCTGCTAAAAGATATTTGTGAGGCTGTTTCCCTTACATTCTTTTATTAACCTACCTTTAAAGAGTTTTTTGTTTGCTTATTTACTTGTTTTGTTTTATATTGAGATTTAAAAGAAAATCCAAGAAAAACAGTTATACTAAGCCCATGCTGTCAACCCTTCAGGCTTCCACAGTATGTTTGAAATTTATTTCCATGAGGCCACTGCTTCTTGTTTAAAAATAGAGCGTTTTTTATTAGACTCTTTACGATCATCTCACATTTTTAAAGAAAGCACTGCTTTCTTCAATATGTGAAGAGATCAGCATTTCACGTATGAAATGCTACTTTTGTAGTCAGTGGGTTTAAATTATACTTATCCTCTAGTTTGCTTTTAGATGGAGTACATTTTTCAATCTCTTTCACATTTCATATTTGCTGTTGTGTGTGAACCCATGTCACCTAATATCAGAGCTGGTGTTTTCCCAATGCTTTTGTCTTGTCTTATTTTTCTGCCCAGATTGAAGAGGTCCCCTCTTTCTGAAGAACTCATCTGTGCCCCAAGGATGCTCCCTTCCCAGTCCTTTGCCAACATCTTCTTCTTCCAGCCACCTGCTTTCCGAATGATTGGCATCAGGGCTGGAGGCCATTCATGGCTGGATCTCCATCCCCTTCTCCTCCACGTTCACTGCGGCCCTCACTGGAAACTGCCTGATCCTCTTGGCTGTGAGGAGGACCCCCAGCCTGTACCAGCCCATGTACTACTTCCTGTCTATGCTGGCCCTCATCGGTGTGGGCCTCACCTTGTCCACAATGCCCACCACGCTGGCTGGGCTCTGGTTTGACCATCGGCTCATCAGCTTCAATGCCTGTCTGGGCCAGATGTTCTTCTTCCACTTCTCTGTGGTGGAGTCCTCAGTGCTCCTAGCCATATCTTTTGACTGCTTTGTGGCCATCTCCAACCCCCTGTGCTATGCAGCTGTCCTCACAAACAATGTCATCATCAGGATGGGGCTGGCCTGTGCTACCCTGTCTCTCTTCCCAGTGCCATTCCTATTTAAATGCCTGAACTTCTGCCCTAATAAGATCCTCTTATCCCATTCATTCTGTTTCCATCCTGACGTGATGAGAAGAGTCTGTGCTGACATCACCATAAACATCCTCTATGGGTTCTACGTGGTACTGTCCCCTGGGGGCATAGATTCCCTGCCCATTGTCCTGTCCTACACTCTCATCCTGCCCACGGTCCTGGGGCTGGCCTCTCCCAGGGAGCTCATCGGGCCTTCAACACCTGTGCCTCCCATATCCTGGCCATCTTTGTCTTCTTTATTCCAGGTATCACCATGTCCATGATCCACCATTTTGGGAGGCACCTGCTCCCCATTGTACATGCCCTTGTTGCCTATGTGTACCTGCTGGTGCCCCCTGTGCTCAACCCCGTCATCTACAGTGTCAAGTCCAAGCCCATCAGGGAGGCCATGCTCAGGGTCCTGAGGGGGAAAGGTCAGAGTTGATGCAGGATGCCTGCAGGATTGGGACCCTGAAAAGAGTTTGGTAAGCCAAAAAAATAAACTTCTGGATAGATCAAGTCCCACCCATAGTTTCGTTTTGGGCATCTGGGAAAAAAAATAATAGATAATTATGAGAGACTTTCATTTATTTAGTCTCTCACTTATTTCACATATATTTTCTCAATGCTAACTTCTTTCAGGTCCTATGTTAAGTACCAGGAACACAGAAATGATTTATAAATGGTCTTGCCCTTCAAATATCTCACCTTTGAATATATATGAAAAATACCCAAGGGGGACTTCCCTGGTGGCACAGTGGTTAAGAATCCGCCTGCCAATACAGGGGACATGTGTTCGATCCCTGGTCCAGAAAGATCCCACATGCCGTGAAGCAAATAAGCCTGTGCACCACAACTACTGAGCCTGCGCTCTAGAGCCCGCAAGGCACCATACTGAGCCCATGTGCCACAACTACTGAAGCCTGCATGCCTAGAGCCTGTGCTCTGCAACAAGAGAAGCTGCAGCAATGAGAAGCCCATGCACCGCAACGAAGAGTAGCCTCTGCTCACCACAACTAGAGAAAGCCTACGGGCAGCAACGAAGACCCAATGCAGCAAAAAAAAAAAAAAAAAAAAAAAAAAGCCCAAATAAGAAAGTGTTTAATACAGTGTAATAAGCTCATTGTTAAAGGTTTGTGCAGAATTCTGGGTAAGCAGAGGAGCAAGTTATTTACCTCAGTGTGCTTTGGCTTTCTCTACAATGGGAATATTATAGTGTCTATCTTATAATGTTGTTATAAGGATCAAGGTGTGGAACGTAATGTACAACATATAGTAAATACCAATAAAAGTTTTCTCTTGTTGTTATTGTATTAATCACTCATTTATTCATCAGAACCAATGTTTGATCTCTGGCTAATTTCTGAGACCTCAGAAATGAACCAGACTCAAATTGCCCATTTGAGTAAAGAGAAAAATAAGTAGGCAACTATGATAACAAGTAATAAGTTATTGATGCAGGGTAAGCACAAGGATGTGTAAGAAAAAAAAAACCAGTAGAACTGTCCGGTTTATGAGTTTTCTGGAGGCTCTGTCTGGGCTAGATCCTTTGAAAAATAGAGTATATTATGCAGATGCGGGAATACGGAGTAGTTTGGGGCAAGTGGAGAAAGAGTAGGAGAGGATACTGCAAATGGAGGAAACAGCAAATTTGCTTTCTTAGAAGAACAAATGGTTTAGTGTGATTAGAGAAGAGAAGTGGCAAAAGATGAGGCTGGAGTAGAAGGCAGGCCTCAAGCAAGCAGAACTTTTAAAAATATAGTATATGCAAAGGGAGTTAGGTCTCTTCCTGGGTACAAGTATGGTGCTGCTTCCAGTGGGTCATGCTCCACGATAAAGAGCAAATGGGATTTTGAAGTGAGATCTTAAAGGAATCTTTGTATGTTTATACAGCACTTACTATCTTCTACTTTATATTCTAGTGATAATGAAATTACAGTGACTCCCATATCAAGGACTTTTTTTTCTTATTTGTCTCCTAGAAGTAAAGGCCCAGCAGAGAATTTGTGCTTGGTGATGATTTGCCAGAGTGAATTTTCCAAAGTCTAAAAGGGCAGAACCACACCCAGAAGAGAACTCAGTATTCTAGGTCTGCTGAAACTTTAGAGTTTTTTATTAAGTTGAAATAGGCTGTGAACCAATGGAAAGAATATTAGACTAGACATCAGAAGACTTAGACTCTAGTACTGACCTTGATATTATTTTCTTCCTTGTGTTCTTTTGAAAAACACTTTCTCAAGTCAGAGTATTAGTTTCTGCATTTGAAATATAGGGATAATAATACTTCCTTCATTCCACTACAAGAGGGATAAGATAATAAAATGAGGAAAAGAAATAACAAGGTTCTTGAAATCCAAAATAAAGTACATTTCTTTAAGCAAATATAGTTCCTAAAGTTTCATTTCTTCCCCTATTTTTTATAGTTTGTGATGAAATTTAAAGAAAATATCCCCGTGACCATTGGTCAAAGTTTGGGGGACTACTCTTAGACAGAGGAAATCAAGGTGAATATAAGAAGAGGAAAACTGAGAAGTTACATGGTACACAGTTTGGAAAATGCCTTCTTCCTAAAGTCTAAAACTCTTAGGACTGTATGTAAGACTCTTAGGTTGATTTCTCCCAGAAGCAAATTTTGAGACAAGACTTAATTACAAGTAGTTTATTCAAGAGGTTTTTCCAGGGGGTATTGTTAAAATAGAGAGAGAGAGAAGTAAGCAAACCAGTAAGGGTGAGTGATTGAACGTGTTACCTGTGTGAATAAAAGGGATGAGACCCAAGGAGTAATTTGGAAACACAGTGTAGAATATGCTGCAGAGTTATCACCACTGTGGAGCCAGGAAGGTGAGGTATTTACCCTCCCGTTTGTCATTGGCTGAGAGCTGCTTCCTAGCACTTCATGTCTGCCCCTGTGTGATGGAAAGAAACCCTCCAAGTGGAGACTCATAATTGGGATGCAGGAGGATGCTGTCGGGATAGAAAAGTGAGTGCTGAGGGTTATGGGAGGGGTGCTCGGTGTACACCACACTCTTCACCTGACATCACTCTGATCACAGGTTTACACTAAGTTAACTGCATCCATCACTCATCCTTCACGGTGGTGGCAATTTCAGAAAGAGAAGGAAAGGAAAAAGATTTATAACTAAATGTATAGAGGAACAATCTAGAGGTCCCATTACTCTGACTGGTCCCAAGGTAAAATTAATATTCATAATTTCCCTCTTTTACCACCCATTCTAGATTCCACCCTTTCATGGTCAGACTTCTTACCCAACAGCAAGCAATCCAGACCTTTTCCTTAAGGAAGGTGCCACCTTTATAAGCAATTTATTTGTGTTGGCATCTAATGTTAACAAATCAGACATTCAGCAGTGGCAGTAACTAGATTTGCCTTGGGGAAAGGGAGTTTATTTCACTGGACTGTTGCTTACCTCCATCTCTGTCACCCTGGTCACTCAGTATAAGGGCCCATCATGCAGGCACTGGGGTGAGGAGGGACTGAAGCTTGTTGGGCACTGGATGTGTCATCCTGTCATCCTGTTTACCTGGTTGTTCAGCGCTTCCTTTAGGATGGAGACTCTCTGGTGAGCATTAATGTGAGACATAGATTTGCACATTTTAGTTACATTCTCATATAGCCATTCACATATCTTCCCCAGACTTTTTTGTTTTCAGTCTTCCAATATTTCTTCTTTCAGGCCTCCTCACTATTCTACAGGACCACCTCTGAATAAAACTGTAGTGAGGCAGCACTATTTGTTTTACTTCTACCTACATATTAAGCCACTCCAACCGTGAATCAGGCCCAGCTTACATCCTCCTCCATCAGTTAGACATAGGGAAATCCCCGTGAGACTGTAGGTACAGCTGAGGAAGAGGCATTGATGCAAAAGAGACAGGTGACAGGAAGTCTAGGCTACATGTTTATGTAACTCACTTGTGCCTGCTAAACTTGTACCAGTATAATTCATAGTACTGTCCATACTCACCCTTATGACATGAGTAGGCCTGACAATAGCCATTTAAAATAGGCAATTTTAGTCACATAGTCACTTGATGTCCCATGATCAAGTGTTTAATTCCTATTAGGGTCCAGTAACATTCCTATACCTGTCTTTTGAACAGAGAGGACTCTGCTGGAGACAGCATGGCCTTGCTCCAGAATCCTAGGAGTCTGTGCTGCACCTCTCCTATTAGGGCTTTATGGAGACTTCACACATATTTATTTACCACAGATACAACAGGCATCATGGTTTTACCAAGTTATATGGCCCAAGTGACATAGATTTTTGCACCACTTGCTGCAAAGCCCTCTCTTGTTCTAGGCCCTCTCAAAACTGACAGCCTGCTACACACCTGTTGAATTATTCCTAAGGGTATATGTGCTCTCTCTAAAATCCAAGGAAGACTAACAGGTGCTGTGCCTCTTTGCTGACAGCAGGAAGGACAAGGTGCAATAACATGCCTTTTGCCTTGGAGAAGGTATGCTGACAGGACACAGAACACTAAACCTATAAGAATTTCACTGATGTGTCAGGCGGCCTAATGTTTGAGGACTTTATCTCCCACTCTGTGATGTGTATATGTCTTACGAGGGTATTCAGAGTACTTACCACGTCCTGGTTTCCAAAACCTTGGTTAGTTATCTCAATATCCATGTCCAAACATCATGTTCCTTCAGTTCTTAAAAGCCCTTTTGGTGAAAAGCATCTTTCCTTCTGTGACATAGGCATTGCTTCTTTTCTCATGACCTACTGAGTGTTCCATCTAGTTATTAGTCACAAGTAGTCTTACTCCCATGTTGGCTAACTCTGCCTCTTTCCAGAAAATAGAAAGATACTCTTTTTAAAAATGAGGTAAACAGTACAGATGGGTCACTGAAGCATGTCAGTGAACCTTTTGAAAGCATGTCTTAGAGAGGGCTGGTCTAGATAACCAGAGTTTCTACATTCCCGAGAGTTCTGATGGCTCATGTCTCTAATCTCCCTGGGTTTTCCTTTCTCCTGAGAGCTCCCTTCAGCCTCCTCCATCTTCCTTACCCTCTCATCACATGTTCCCATCCCAGGGGTGAAGCTCAGCAGAGAGTAATTTCTCTGTGACACAAAGCTTGATGTCCCTGGAGATGGGCTGCATTTCCCTGCAGCAGCATAAAAGGGGAGTGTCTTGGCTGCAGGGTCTTCCTGGGCTTCTATAGGATATGGTACAACAAAACAGCCTGGGGAAGCAGCCAGGGTGAGTAGCCAGGACTGAGACTCAGACCCTTCTCTATGCCCAGAGTCCTGGAGGGCACCTCTTTTACCTCCTCCTCTCCTCCTCCAAAACAAGAGTCAAATAGAAATAAATGACAGAAGGCAGAGGTAGCAGAGAAATATGGACACAGAGGGTATTGAGTATCCTCAATGGTAGTTTCATATTCTGCATGAGGGAGAGATCAAGGAGAATCTCTTG